TCCTTACTGCTTGAATGCCTCCACCACGTCTTCTCTGTCGTATTGCTATCCGTTGTGCAGCTACGGGTGCTCGGTGAAATGGATTGGCGACCACTTCTGTGACTGGGCGTGCTTCACCAAGGCGTGTAATTTCGATGGCGGCGACTGCGACGAGTTTGGGTTTGACCGACCAAACTGAATGAATGCACCAAGGTGTGAAAGTTCAGCGGCGTCGCCGTCAACTGTCAATGTCGATTCAATCGATGAGGCGACGCGGTTGCATGCTCCGTCATCTACTCCACGAATCTGTGGACGTGACAGGCTGTTAAAGCCTTTCGGACATGACGGCGATCCAGAGTATTTTTTTCCCCGCCATGACTCGATAGATAGCGTCGTGTGGATGGATCCATCCGAGAAATCCACAACGTGCCGCGTTCTGGTAAGGATACCACGCGGGGCCATTTGAGCTACCGCTCGTGTCAGGTCAACATAGCACAACTATGTCTCGAATGTACGTCGTTGCGCTTGTTGGATGCAGAATGTCCACCAGTTGCTTATACAGTCTGGGCAATATGCCCAGCACCATTGCACTAATAGCATAAGCTTGTATCCGCTACTCCAAAATGATCTCGAGCCCTCGCTTTCGAGCAATACTTTGCAAGAACATCATCATCGGGTCGGCTGCTGTGGGCATGCATCCACATATACTAAGGGTTTGAGTCGAGCTATGGCATCTGCACGCAGGGGGTGGCAGGTCAGTGTCATGCCGGAATCAAAGGGGAAAATCGCGACCACGGACGTTCAAACTACAATTTTTCTCCTGAATTCAAAACACTATTTTAATAGCAAAATGGAGGCCAGGAACACCTTCATCTTGGCGACAGGAAAAGTGGCACGGAAGCGCGCCCATACGTATATCTTTGGTCCAAATTTATTTTGATTTTGGAGGCATTTGCCACAGAAACTTAATTGAGAGTTATATGTCTACAGTTTAACGAAATGAAGTAAGAATATTAGAGTTGGTTGGGAGGAAAGCTGTGTGGCAAAATCGAAAATGAATTGACCTTGCTAATACATCTACCATATCTACTACATTAACAAAGGTTCATCTCAACATTGAATTGAATGGCTTACTGTTCAAATTGTGTTCAACAAGGGGAAATTCATTCTACTCAAGCCCTACCGCAATGCGGTTGGAACACTTCAAGAAAGCTGAGCATTAGTTAACGTGCCTTGTGCTGCTGCATCGATCTATTCCTGGTTTTCGATTGTTGAGATTCGTTTCATTGCCCCTGAAATAGCCATCACATGCCGAGGACCCATTGTCCAAGTGGTGTCCATCTTTCAAGCGGCACGCATCTGCAGAACACATGAAAAAGGTGCATCCTCCGACAACATATGACATTGTGCCGGTAGCGGCTGCCTCTTGGAGTCACCCACGGCGATGTGGCCAGCGTTGTTTGTTCGGCTTGGTACTGTTCATGCACACTACCGTATGCCTGTACTTGGCCATGTGGATCGTCGTCACTCTCTTCTCCCGAGGAGTCGACGTTGCGGTGGCAAATGCGTACTCGCCTATCACAGTGATGGGTTCGTACGCCGTTCTTTGTGTGCTCCACGTGCATGCTGTGATGGCGACCCTCTTCCCAAAGACTATTCCTTCGATGCCCATGCCGTCGAAGGACCGACTGTCCACGTTGTCTTCGGGCATGCTGCTCAAGGTCAAGGTCACACCGCACCAACACGGACCTCGTGCCCCGACCACGCCGTCGATCTTGATGACGGATGAAATCCAAGACTGTATCATCATTGCTTTCAACCTGTTTGAGGTTGGTTGCCAGAGCCACCAAGCGTTCGCCATGTTCCAAACGTTGGTCGAGCCGGTCAAAGTCATCTCGTACGGTCTCGTGGTGGTATTATACAGCTTTGCATCGCCACTTTTCTTGTTCATTCGATGCACCCAGACTAAATCAACGTTGCTCAACCTAGCGGACACAATTGTGAGCTTCACCTTGTCAACTGGCCACCCCTTATTCTCCCTCATCATTACCGTCTTTCACTACTTGGTGCTGGAGCCCACATTAGCACAAGACAACCTCTGGGCTACGCGATCGACCCTTCTTACACGGCTCCTTGTGCCATCATCCGCCTTTGACATGCTTTGCAAGCTCGGTATGCATCTTGGCACGTACATCTCACTGCGACAATCCCACTTGTCGCTGCAGATGCTCAAAACGACAACTCTTCGTCCTCCTGGTGCGCGTAGACGAAGATATTTCCGATGGCTCCTTCGGATCAACTTGGTTGTCAACGTTGGGTGGTCTGTGGTCCTTCTCGTGTGGATGGGCATTGCGCTGGGG